TCAAAAGTACGGCGTTATAATGTGGAAGACATGGAAGAATTACTGGCAATCCTCGATCGAATACTGGTTGCACTGCAAGATGGTGGCGAAAATGGAGAACTAAGGGGACAACATCTTGGTCTTACGGTCAAAGAGAAGCTTCCAGAAGAGTATGTCCGAGAATACAAGTATTGGTTACATGAGCAGGGAGAGTATGACACATTTGAAAAACTAGTTGAATGGATCGACACCAGAGTTCGGATAATGGATGAAGCGCAAGAGGAGATAGGAGAATTTGATAAACGACGAAATCCAAAGGAAGGAGAAAGGCGTCCTAATCGAGGATACAACACAGGTAGTAATGTTCGACAATGTGTGGTAACAAAATGTAAGATTGTTCACCCGCCATGGGTTTGCCAAGAGTTCAAGAAACTTCCAGTTGCACAGCGCAAGGAACTAATTAGCAAAAGTAGACGCTGTTTCCGATGTCTTGCTTCAGGTCACCACAGTAGAAATTGTCCGCGCAATAGAAAATGTGGAGTCGATGGATGCGAGAGTTCTGGGCATAGTAGCTACCTACATGATCCTGGTCGGAAGAATGCAAGAAATGATACAGCATCAAGGAAACAAGACCATCCAACTGAAGGCGAAAACGTGACTATGGTTACAAGTGAAGAAGTTGGCAACACTACCGCCAATACATACAACACTGCTCGAGTCGAACAGATTTCCCTGATGGTCCTACCAGCTATTACTGGAAATGGAGCAAAGAAATTAAAAGTCAATGTTATGCTGGATCCTTGCTCGACCGGGTCGTACATAACCGAGAGTGCTGCTGAAGAGCTTCAGTTGAAAGGTGAGAGACAAAACTTGACTATTTCGGGAACTGGTGTTACAGAGATCAAAAAGCAATCAAGACGTGGCCATTGTTCAGTGTCTTCCATGAATGGGTCCTTTTCAGCACCTGTTGAAGCCAATGTTCTTGATAACATTACTGGAAACACACCAGCTATTGAATGGAGTGCCTTGAAGAATGACTGGCCACACTTAACTTCAATTCCTTTTGACAGAGTGTCCAATCGAAGACAAATTGACATTTTTAATTGGTAGTGACCATCCAGTTTTCCACAAAGTGTTACGAGAAGTTACTGGAAGACAGCCGAAAGACCCTGTAGCACGACAAACCCTGCTTGGGTGGGTTTGCTTCGGTCCCACCTGCAAGAATCCTTCACCACGTAAAACCCATGCCCACATGACCCGTACCTACCACATCGGCCAAACCAACATGGATGAAACAAATGATCTTTTAAGAAAGTTCTGCGAATTGGAAGCCATTGGAATCAATGAGGAGAGCACCCGTGTTATGACCCCTGATGAAATAAGAGCAATGGAAACGGCACAGTCAACCCAAATATTGAAGGACGGTAGATATGAGATTGGAATACCATGGAAAGAAAGGAACAATTTTGATATGGCCTTCTCACGACTGAAGAATCTCGAAACATCACTCCTCAAGAAACCCGAAGTTGCGAATGCCTATTGCGAGATAATTAAAAACTATGTGGATAAAGAGTATGTGAAAAAAGTACCGATGACAGAGGAAGAACAGTGGCTCCTGCCTCACTTTGCAGTGGTAAATAATGCGAAGACCTCAACCAAAGTTAGAATTGTTTTTGTGCTGCAGCCAAACTTGAGGGCAAGAGCTTAAACGACGCCATCTATTCTGGACCCAAGTTACAACGGGAGCTTGTGGATGTCTTGACTCGGTTTCGAAGAGCACCTGTAGCCCTATCAGCTGATATCTCACAAATGTTTTTGCAAGTCGGACTCGCCGAGAAAGACCGTCCTTATCATCGATTTCTATGGCGAGAACTGGACAAGGCCAACGAACCCTAGATCTACGAGTTCATGCGATTGCCCTTTGGTAATACTGCCTCCCCGTTCTGTGCGCAGCATGTCTTGCATTCTCATGCAGAGACTAGTAAAGAGCTTTATCCTGAAGCAGCAGACACTGTAGACAATGCCATGTACGTAGTAGCCTGCGAACAGGCTCTCAAGCTGAATTGAGAGCCTGCATCGATGACTAATGAATTTGAATATCTGCGTCTCAAATCGTGACGCGAAATTCTCATTGGTCAGATGCTATAATTTATATTATTCCGCTGAGCTCTATATATGTCAACTGTTGCACTATGCATAAAAAACACATTAATTGATCAAATTGATCTTGGCCATCTTATCTCAAAGCACGAAATGTTCTGTTTTGAGAAAACAGTATTTAAAACATTTAAACTTTTGCTTGAATATCTTATATTTCGAAAAACAGTATAAACTGTACGGTCTAAATTTAGTTTGCACGGTCTAAATTTAGTTTGCATGAAAGTTGTAAACAACACCATATAAGGATAGACATTCCATATTTGGAAAAATGAACGTTACGGGGCAGATATTCCAATTCATTGGTCATCGATGCAGGCTCTCAATTCAGCTTGAGAGCCTGTTCGCAGGCTATGTACGTAGATGACGTGCTGGACTCGTGCGAAACAATACCTGAGGCCAAAGACCTTCGAAGACAAACAACAGAACTTTTGTCTGGAGCCGGGTTCACTCTTAAAAAGTGGATGTCCAACGAAGTTGACGTTATTGAGGATGTTCCTGCTGACGACCGGTTGGCCGGTTTAGAAATTCATAAAGATATCCTCCCCACCGTAAAGACCTTGGGAGTTTCATGGCAGGCAAACCAAGACATCTTCACATTTCAAGTAAAACCTCCACCCTCGTCAGAATTGCCAACGAAAAGAAATGTGCTCAGTAGTATCGCAAGATTGTTTGACCCGTTGCAGTTTTTGGCACCCTTTACTATCCGAGCAAAATTCCTACTACAAAAGATCTGGACTGCTGGTATCGAATGGGATGAACAGCTACCTGAAAGCCTGTGTGTCGAGTGGAAAGATTGGACTAACGAATTAAAAGATCTGTCTTATTTTGAGATACCCCGTCCCCTTCGTCTACCAAAGCCAACCAAGTCTTGGTTGCACA